CGATAATGCTGCCATTATGCCATTGTCGGAAAAAGATAAACAAGATATTTTAGATTTTCACAATAATCAAAGAAATTTTGTTGCCTGTGGTGGACTTTATAAGAAATATGGCATAAAGCCTGGTTGTCGTCATGGTGTTATCCGTTGGGATAAAGAACTTGAGAAAACCGCTTTTCTACATTCTTCATATTGCATCTTTGCCCATGATAAGTGTCGCAATACAATAAAATATCCGTTTACGGGACAAAATCTTGGTATATTGTATTTTGTAGGTAAACCTATGAATGCTACTGCGTATGGTAATGTTATATCGTGCTTGTGGTATGCCGAATATCGGGTAACAAAAATGGCCATGATAGATAGTTATTACCATCAGACAGAAGTGTAAGTAGTTAAGGCAAAGTTCTAAATTCAGAGTTCTTTTTTAAGTGTTTACTTTCAGAATGGTGGGACACTTTTTGACTTCGTTGAATGAGCGTAATGATCGTATTGGTTGTACCTGTATTAAATTTTTTTATGCTGATAAGCAAAAAGAAGCAGTTATGCTCTCCTGTAATTATCCCACAACAAATATTGCCAAAAGCACGGTATATAATAGTTGTAAAAAGCCAGCTTCCAAATGTACTACCGGTACAGATCCAAAATATAAATTTTTGTGCTCCTCGAAGGAGGTTTACGATGTATCGGGTAAACTAAAATACATACCATATGATGGTGATGGTACCGAGGTATTCAATAATTGTGGCCGGCAACCAGAGCTGTTGCATTTAGAACGCGAAGGTAAGGAAGCAGTTAAAAAGCATGATAAAGATTTCGTACCAGACCCTGAGACACCGGGTGTTGATACTCCCTCCGAGTCGGAAGTAACTACTGCCAAACCTGGAAAACCACCAAGTAAACCACCTAGCAAACCACCAAGTGAGCCACCTAGCAAACCACCGGAAATTGATGGAGGAAATCCTGAAGCCGGTGGCATTCCCGACTATTCTGAAGATGAATATGATCCCCCTAGTAGTGGTGCTGCGGTAAAGTGGCAGAAATCAAACCATTTAATGTTTCTTATTTTCTTTACTTTTTATTAAGTATTTTATCCATTACTGAAGCCTAGGCTATTAGTATTTGACTTTACATTGCAACTTGAAATAAATCGGTCTAATAATATGATTATTTCTTAATTTAGGTATTAGTTTATACAAGTAAATACATTGTGTTTCGAAAGCTGTTTCTTTCGAATCGACAACTCCCCAGTATGAACCAGTTTACCTTATGGACTAGTAGTCTATTGATTAGACTATAAACTTGTCTTGACTATGGAACAGTCTATAGTCTTGACTATAGACCAGCCTATAGTCTTACTGTAGAACAGCCTATAGCCTAGTCTATAGACCAGTCTATAGTCTAGTATATAGACCATGCTATAGTCCTGACTATACACCAGTCTATAGTCTAGTCTATAGACCAGGTCATAGTCTTGACTATACACCAGGCTATAGTCTTGGCTATAAAAAAGTCTATAGTCTTTACTATAGAGCAGTCTATAGTCTTGACTATAGAACAGTCTATAGTCTTGACTATAGATCAGTCTATAGTCTTGACTATAGAGCAGCCTATAGTCTTGACTATAGACCAGCCTATAGTCTTGACTATAGACCAGTCTATAGTGTTGACTATAGACCAGTCTATAGTGTTGACTATAGACCAGTCTATAGTATATATAGACTATAGTCTAGTCTTGGTTTGGACTATAGACCAGTCTATAGTTTGGAGTATAGACAATAGACCAGTCTATAGTTTAGATTATAGAACCAGTCTATAGTCTTGACTATAGACCAGTCTATAGTTTGGAGTCTATAGTTCGGACTATAGACCAGTCTACAGTTTGGACTATAGACCAGTCTATAGTCTTGACTATAGGCCAGTCTATAGCCTTGACTACAGATCAGTCTATAGCCTTGACTATAGATCAGTCTATAGCCTTGACTATAGATCAGTCTATAGTCTTGACTATAGATCAGTCTATAGTCTTGACTATAGATCAGTCTATAGTCTTGACTATAGACCAGTCTATAGTCTTGACTATAGACCAGTCTATAGTCTTGACTATAGACCAGTCTATAGTCTTGACTATAGACCAGAGTGTAGACCAGTCTATAGTTTGGACTATAGACCAGTCTATAATTTGGACTATAGACTAGTCTATAGTTTGGACTATATACCAGTCTATAATTTGGATTATAGACCAGTCTATAGTATAGTCTATAGGGAGTATAGACCAGTCTATAGTTTGGAGTATAGACCAGTCTATAGTTCGGACTATAAACCAGTCTATAGTTTGGACTATAGACTAGTCTATAGTTTTGATTATAGACCAGTCTATAATTGGATTATAGACCAGTCTATAGTCTTGACTATAGACCAGTCTATAGTTTAGACTATATACAAGTCTCTAATTTGGATTATAGACCAGTCTGTAGTATAGTCTAAATTTTGGAGTATAGACCAGTCTATAGTTTAGACTATAGACCAGTCTATAATTTGGACAATACACCAGTCTATAGTTTGGACTATAGACCAGTCTCTAATTTGGACTATAGACCAGTCTATAGTTTAGATTATAGGACCAGTCTATAGTCTTGACTATAGACCAGTTCTATAGTTGGAGTATAGACCAGTCTATAGTTCGGACTATAGACTAGTCTATAGTTTGGACTATAGACCAGTCTATAGTTTGGACTATAGACCAGTCTATAGTTTGGACTATAGACCAGTCTATAGTTTTGGTTTATAGACCAGTCTATAGTTGGATTATAGACCAGTCTATAGTTGGATTATAGACAAGTCTATAGTTGGATTATAGACCAGTCTATAGTATAGTCTATATTTTGGAGTATAGACCAGTCTATAGTTTAGACTATAGACCAGTCTATAATTTGGACAATAGTCCAGTCTATAGTTTGGATTATAGACCAGTCCATAGTTGGATTATAGACCAGTCTTGACTATAGACCAGTATATAGTTTGGACTATAGACCATTCTGCTATAGTTTGGACTATAGATCAGTCTATATTCTTGACTATAGACCAGACTATAGTCTTGACTATAGACCAGACTATAGTCTTGACTATAGACCAGACTATAGTCTTGACTATAGACCAGTCTATAGACCAGACTATAGTCTTGACTATAGACCAGACTATAGACCAGTCTATAGCCTTGACTATAGACCAGACTATAGACCAGACTATAGACCAGTCTATAGCCTTGGACTATAGACCAGTCTATAGTCTTGACTATAGACCAGTCTATAGTCTTGACTATAGACCAGTCTATAGTCTTGACTATAGACCAGTCTATAGTCTTGACTATAGACCAGTCTATAGTTTTGACTATAGACCAGTCTATAGTCTTGACAATAGACCAGGTCTATAGTCTTGACTATAGACCAGTCTATAGTCTTGACTATAGACCAGTCTATAGTCTTGACTATAGACCAGTCTATTTGTCTCTGACTAGGACCATCTATAGTCCCTCATGACCAGTTGTCAAAAGGACTATGGACCAGTTTACAGTCTTTTTTTTTGTTCTCAAAAGTACAATATACTAAATATGCCATCCCTGGTCTATGATTTTTAATCTGAAAATGTTTTATTAATCCATGGATTTTCAAATAAAAAATTATGCTCTATTTAATCTGAAGTAAGTTCTGATACTACGTAAGCATGTATAAGTATTTCAAAAATCTTGCATCCGTCACCAAGTGTTTAATAAGCTCAAGTTCTCCTCACGCTCTCTTTTCGTAACTAAATAATTTGAAAACAAAAACAAAATTGGCGTTTTAAAAATCGACGTAGTACATGAATTTGAAATGCATTCATTGAATGACTATAATAATCATTGTTTTATGTGTACTTGCGCAATAATTTTATGGGAAATTTATTTACAATCTAATACAGTGGAAGCTTTAATAAAAAGACGTCGCATTACAGTCATTATCAAACATTGCATAAAACAGATATTTTTAAATTTCATTGAAAATTTTTTACAATTTTCAAAAAAGGTTGAAATCATATTTTTTGGGAAAAGTTTGGCATGGAATGATTCATATGCTTGGAGAGCATTATTATGATGATCTCTATTAATTATTCTATTATAATTTTTTTCTCATTCGTTCATTGTATGTAGGTACTATGTATCTATCTGTACTTAATTGCAACAAGTGAAATGACAACAACGACACCAACAACAATAACACATTGTAATGACTAAGTTTCCGCCATGATCATGCAAAAAAACAAAATTTCTTATATTTTTAATAAAAAAAACACGGCAATTTTCAAAGTCATTTTAAAAAAGATGACATCAATAGTGGCAGCAACAGATATAACAAAAAAATCATATGAATGGCGTCATTTTTTCACATAAACTATAAATTTTAGATAAATACGAAGGTTTAAATATTTTTTTATAGATTATCGTGATATTTAAACAAAATACTATTTATTTAAATATTTCCTAATAAACTACCATGATTCAGTTGTAATTTTTATAGGAAAATAATTTTCTGAATTACATACTAAATTGAAATCAAGCTAATATCCGGAATTTCCCAGTTGGAAAATTTTAATTTTTCTATAAAATGTACTGTTTGAAGAACGAAAAGGTACTAAATGTTCCCTTCATTTCATAATTTAATCATTAACTAATATATAGTTAAGAATATAAGATAATTCAATAGGCAAAACTATGGACTGATCTTTAGTCGAGACAATAGTGTATTCTGTACTCAAGCTGTAAGTATAGCCAAGACCATAGACTCGGCTAAGTGAAGAATAGAGATATAGATAGGCCAGACGATACACCAGGCGAAGGGGAAAACCAGATGACGAGGCGAGAAGCAAGGGACGAACGAACGAACTAACGAACGAACGAACGAACGAACGAACAACGAACGACGAACGAACGAACGAACGAACGAACGAAAACGAACGAACGAACGAAACGAACGAACGAACGAACGAACGAACGAACAACGAACGAACGAACGAACGAACGAACGAACGAACGACGAACGAACGAACGAACGAAGAACGAACGAACGAAGAACGAACGAACGAACGAACGAAACGAACGAACGAACGAACGAACGAACGAACGAACGAACGAACGAACGAACGAACTAAAACGAACGAACGAACGAACGAAACGAACGAACGAAGAACGAACGAACGAACGAAAACGAACGAACGAAACGAACGAACGAACGAAGAGCGAACGAACGAACGAACGAACTAAGAACGAACAACGAACGAAAGAACGAAGGAAAGAACCAACGAAACGAACGAACGAACTAAGAACGAACGAACGAGAACGAACGAAAACGAACGAACGAAGAACGAACGAACGAACGAACGAACGAAAGAACGAACGAACGAACGAACTAACTAACTAACTAACGAACGAACATAACTAACTAACGAACTAACGAACTAACTAACTAACTAACTAACTAACAAATAACTAACTAACTAGCAACTAGCTAACTAACGAACGAACAACTAAAAACTAACGAAAAACTAACTAACTAACTAACTAACTAACAAACTAACTAACTAACTAACTAACGAACTAACTAACTAACGAACTAAGAACGAAGTAACAAGTAACTAAAAGTCGAAGAACGAAGGAACTAAGAAGAAGTAACGAAGTAACTAAGTAACGAAGAACTAACGAACGAACGAACGAACGAACGAACGAACGAACTAAGACGAACGAACGACTAACTAACGAAAACGAACGAACAACAACGAACGAACGAACTAACGAAAAACAACGAACGAAAACGAAAACGAAGTAACTAAGGAACTAACTAATAACTAACGAACTAACTAACTAACTAAGAACTAAAACTAAATAACTAACTAACTAACTAACTAACTAACGCTAACTAACTAACTAACTAACTAACTAACTAAACTAACTAACTAACTAACTAACTAACTAACTAACTAACTAACTAACTAACTAACTGACTAACTAACTAACTAACTAACTAACTAAACTAAATAACTAAACTAAACTAACTAACTAACTAAC